AGCCGCAGGATGTCCCAAGGGCCCAGAGTCCAGTTGGGTCAGCTGCCGCTGCCACATCCCTACAGCCAAGGCAACATCGCTGGCCTCCTAAATCTTCCTCTTCTTTCCAGAAGTGTCCAGGGGTCCAGAAGGGGTTTGGCAGTAGGCACTGAGACCTCTCCAACTGAGCAGCAGGATCAGGCAGCTCATTCCACATTCCTCAGGCAGGTGGCCCTTTCCCCCATCCCCTGCATCTGGGGTAGAGCATAGACCCAGGGAGTACTAGAGACAGACATGGCACAGAGGTGGTAGGGACAGGAAGGAGCCATAGGGAGGAGGAGAGGAGGAGCTTTCAGCAGGGCATGGCTTCCAAGTGGTGCATCACAGTTCCTCTGGGAGACCCATGAAGTTGGACTGTGTGGGCCAGGAGAGCAGAGAGCTAGGGAGCTAGGGAGAGGAGGATTGTGTTGTGCCCTGAGGACCCCAGACTCAAAGAGCAGCTTGATGGGATCGTGTAGGGTAACCTGAGATGGAGCTAGGCCATGTGGCCAATGGAGCCAGGGGTCCTGGGTGAGGACCACCTCTGGAGTTAAGTCAGATTAGGCCATAGGAAGGGGCAGAGGCCATGTGTAATAGCCACAGGGAACAGAGTGTGTGTGTGTGCATCAGGAAGAGGCTGCAGGCCTGAGCAAGAAGGCAGGGGGTAGGCCAGGTGTCCCAGCAAGAACAAGAGCTGGGCAGAACTCCCTCTTGGTACTACATCCTCCACTCACCAGAAACAGGAGTAGGGGGGATGAGAATGGTAAGCACTGCCAAGGGCTGGGGCCTGGAAAAGCACCCTCCCCAGCCAAGCCCAGGGCCACCTAGACTCATTTCAGGGCCCCTGTCCACCTGGAGCCAGGAGCAGTAGAGCCGATGAACTGGAAGTGGGTGCCCAAAGGATAACAGGCCTGTGAGATGGGAGCTCCACCCCTGTAGCCTGAGGCTCTCCACACCTGCCTGAAGGGCTGGGACCTTACAGTGATATGGGAAGGATTCCAAGAAAGAGAAGCACCTTGCTTTTCTAGCTAAGAAGACAAGGAGCCACGGTGGTGCAGTGGTTAAGTGCTCAGCTGCTAACCAAAAAGTTAGTGTGCTCTGTGATGTGACAGTCTGCCTCTATAAAAATTACAGCCTTGGAAACTGTATAGGAGCTCTGGTGGAATAGTGCCTAAGGCATTTGACTGCTAACCACAAGGCTGGCAGTTCAAACCCACCAGCCACTCCTCAAAAGGAAGATTGGACAATCTACTTCCATAGTGATACCACCTCAGAAACCCAAAGAGGGGTTGCTATGAGTTGAATTGACTCTGTCCTATAGGGTCTCTATGAGTTGGAATCAAGTCGTTGGCAATGAGATGTTTTTTGTTTTGTTTTGTTTTGTTTTGTTTTTTGGCTGAAGAAGACAAGGGCTGTCCTGACCACTTCAGCTCCAGGTCAGAGGGAAGGGATGGGCCCTGGATAGTCTGAAGTGGCTGGATGAGCCAGTAGAACCTGGGAAATGCCTCCCATCAGTCAGGCCTGCCTTCTTCTCAGGTTTTAGGGACGACAGTGGGGTGAATGGTGTTCCCTAAAATTCATATCCACTCAGAACTTCAGAATGTGACTTGTTTGGAAATAAGGTCTTTGCAGTTACTGATTAAGATAAGGATGGGGATAAAATCGTCCTGGATTAGGGTAGGCCCTAAATCCAATGAAAATGTCCTTATAAGAGACAGGAGAGGAGATACAGACAGAGAAAGAGGAGATAGGGGTGATGTGGCCATAAGCCCAGGAAACTTGGAGCCACCAACAGCTGGGAGAGGCAAGGAAGAATCCTCTCCTCAAACCTCAGGAGGGACAACGGCCCTGCCAACACCTTGATCACAGACTTTCCAGGAACTGTGAAAGAATAAATGTTTGGCTTAAGCCAACATGTTCATGGTAATTTGTTATCAGGCACTGCTGTGGAGTCAGATCTGACTCATAGCGACCCCTCCTTGGGTTTCTGAGGCAGTATCACTATGGAAGTAGATTGCCCAACCTTCCTTCCAAGGAGTGGCTGATGAGTTTGAAACACCAGCCTTCTGGTTAGGAGTCAAATGCCTTAGGCACTACGCCACCAGAGCTCCCATACTTTGTTATGGAAAATGGTATTAGGAATGAAGATAGGGAGCAAAGGATGGGTCCCCAGGCCAGCTCAGCAGGTGCTCTCTGGGGGCAGAGTTTGCAGGTATATAGGAAGTAGAGGCAGGCCAGCCCCCTACTCCCAGCATAGGGTCCTGGAAAGGGGTGGTAGCTCTTTACCCCTGCAGTGGCAATGCCACATTCTCCCAGGAAATAGAAATGCTCCCCCAGGTCAGGCTGGGGCCTGTGAGCCCTTCACCCTACCCTTCTCTCCACCGCCCAACCCCCAGAGGAGCTGCAAAGGCAGACCAGAATGGCAATAATTTAAAATACATTTATTTATTGTTTCCATTTTGTTTCTGGCTTTGTTATACAAAGGTGTTTAAATAACTTAAATAAGTTTTCCACAGTCACTCAGTTACACACCTACTTGCTACACAGATGAGGTAGAGAAATCGAAAGGCTCTCACAAGACTCAGAACACAAAGACAAGAATTCTTCACGGGTGAATATGTCCCTCTTTTCCCAGCCAGGATAGACCCCTGTCAGTGGGCCCACCATGCAGCCCCTTTCCACTGGGGCAGAAGGACAGATCCCAGCCCCAGCAGGTGGTGGCAGGACCCCAGACCAAGTACTCTGGGCCCAGCTGTGGAGACCAGGCCAAGGATAGAATGTGAATGCCACCCCATATAAGGCTTTTTCTTCTAGAAATACTCTGTCACACCGAAGAGAAGCATGGTAAATAAGAGGCCCCAGAAGGGTAGCAGTGTCTTCGCTTAGTAAGACGTTTTAATATATATTTATATATAAACAAGCAAACCAGCAAACATTTTCAGTCTGCCTTGTTTAAAAAAATACTTTTCTTAATATTTATGACATAGAGTTAAATGTGGTATTTGATTTTAAAAAATCCTTCTTCTGATGGGCCACCTTTCCATAGACCCAATAGTGACCAGGGACAGTCTTGTCGTGACAGTGGCCAGCTCCACCATGGAGCCCCAGCCAGGGGGATATGCCCTCACCCCCACCTCACCAGCCAGGTCTGCTGAAGGTAGAGGGACAGACCTAGCCTTCTGGCTCTGGGGTTCTCATGCCTCTTTCCCCCACCCCCCACATCCCCCTAAGCACATGTGTGCCCTTCTGGGGACAGAGCTGGCCCTCTGCTCCAGCATCTCCCTCTAGGCAAGAGGTTACTTCATAGGGTGCTTTCTGAACCACAGGAGAATAAACTTTACTATTTACACTATAAAACAGGGACAACAGAGACCCACATCAACATAAATAGGTTTTCTTTTAAAAGCACAGTCACCCTGGGCTTCCTGGAGACCCTGGGACTCAGAGAAGCACGCTCACTCAGTAGTTCCTGCGTCCACACTACCTGCCAGCTCAGCACCCACACAAACCCGGCATGCGCATGTGCACAGTGCATGTGCCGCCAGCCCCTCCCCAGCCTCAACCTCTGGGAGCAGGCCCTCCCTCAGTAAGCAGCAGATGGCCCAGCAACTCAGGGAAGGAGAGCCACAACAGAGTGCTCTGAGGGAGGGTTTCTTAGATGGCTGCCACACTGCAGCTGACCAGTGACCACTCACACATATACATTCACATACATGTGTGCACACATATATGCATGCACGTGCACACACGTACACCTGTGTTCGTATGCAATTATGCCTGGCTATGTATGTGCACACATGAAAACACATGCGAGTGCATTACACTCTTATGCACAAGTGCACACCTAACACGTGTATGCACATATGCACACACATAAACACATGCATGCAAACAAACACTCAAACCAAATCAGGTCAGTGTGAGCCTTCCTTTCCCTCCCTTGCAGAGAGAACAGCATGACCAAAGAGAACAGCATTCAGTTTGCCAAATCCTAGCACAAGACCCCCTCTACTTCTACCTATCCCCGGGTGACACAGAGCAAGCTGTAGGGTGTCTGCATAAAACAGACCTTTGCCTGTGCCTACCCTGGGGGAGAGCAGGGCACCTTCTGCCACCCCCAGCCCTGAATCCTCATCCAGGGGCCCAGAGTGCTGGCTGTCTGCTCACAGCATGCCATGATCAACTGGCAGGGGACCCAGCTTTCACAGCCCTGGGCCCATGGCCACACACAGCTTTGCTTTATTTCTTTAAAAAAAAAAAATCCATCTTGATTTAGTGGTTTCCAACGACAAAGCAGAGTCAGGCAAAGAGAGGGAGGAGAGAGAGAGTGGGGAGGACAAGAAGGGGCCCTCAAAGAGTAGCCTGGGGAAAAATAATAATTACTATATTCATTAAATAATAATAATTTAAAAGTCACTGATATTCACTCCAAAGAGAAGTGCTCGATGTCAGAGAAGGGACACAAGATCCGCTGTGTTCCCCCCAAGGGTCCCTGGTGCAGGGCGTGGAAGCAGAAGCAGGCTGCTTTCTCTTCTAGTGGTTTGATGCTCTGGACACAGTGCTGGGCAGTGGGCAGCCTCTGTTGGCTGAGTTGCCTGCTGCCACCCAAAACCCAGGCCCCAGGTATGGTCAGGGAAGGTATGCCTCAGGCTCTTGGCTCCTCAGAAGGGAGCAAGGAGGTGGGAGAAGAACCATCAGGACAACTAGAAATGAGGGCAGGTGGTGGTGGGCAGGAGCTCATCTCTGGGCCCTCAAGGATTGGCATTTCAGGGACGAGTGGCAGCTTGGGAAGCGTCAGCCCAATGTTCTCAGGTCGCAGGACAGGAAAAATTGAGGCTGATAAAGGGACACTCATGGGTCCCAAGTCAAAAGCAGAGTGCCTACAGATAATGAAGCCACCTCCCAGCTCAGGGCTCTTGGAGAGGGGGCAGCAGACAGCGGCTCAGCCCTTGGCAAGAGGGTGGGGGCGGTGGGGAGGCAGCGGCTCAGCCCTTGCAGGTGTAGACCTCCTCACGCTGTGTACACTGCTTGCACTCCACATAGCAGCACCAGCGCACCTGGCACTGGCAGGGCCGCGTGACTGCCCGGCTCTGGGTGTTGTGGCCACGCCCACAGCAGATGCTCTCGCAGTTCTTCTCACGGTGACACTTGCGCCCAGCAGTGCCCGGCGAGAAGCGGCCAGCCAGGCAGAAGCTGGGTGAGTCATCCAGGTGCACCAGCTCAGGGGTGCGAGGCAGTGGGTCGCCACCACCTGTCCCTGGTGCCCGGCCTCGTGGCGGCGAGATGTCACCAGCCTCACCCGTGGCCTCATTGGTGGTGCTGCCCACCTTAAGTGCAGTCTCATATTTGTGCTTCAGGTGCTTGCCCACTTCATGAAAGGGTGCCAGCTGGCGCCAGCAGGTCCGCACTGTGCAGGAACCCGACACACCATGGCACTTGCACGTGGTCTCCACCCCGGCCTTGATCACCTGATGGGAAGGGAGCAGTGAGGCAATATCTGGGACGGGCCCTCCACCCAGCCAGTGCCCAGAGATCCATCTGAGCTGATGTGCCCCAGCCTCAGCTTCAGAGTCAGTGTCTCCTACAGGCTGGCAAAGCTGTTGGCTGTTGTTGCACCTGCTGCATGTCCATCCAGAGCCCGTTCCCAGTAGGGCCTGCCCTGTGAGCCAACCGTGCAAGGAAGAGCGTGGGTGACCAGCTCAAATAGAGTGCTCAGGCCAGCCTTCAGGAGGAAAAGCCACATTCCTGCCCAAACACAGCCAAGGCTGCATGGCCAGCATCAACTCTGTGGTTTGGGATGTTGTGTGAGACCTGCAGGGGCCCTTTCACTCCCATAACTTGGGGTTCCATCTGTAAGCTGACCAGTGCCCACTACATGACCACTGGTACCTGAGGGCCTGGCAGGAGTCACCCCCAACCCTGTGTAAGAAGGGCGCCTTGGGCCAGGCTGCTGAGCTCCCACGCCAGCCCCAGGGAGAGGCCAGTTTGAAGGGGATTAAGAAATATAGCAATCCTCCAGCAGGCGGGCTACACAAGAGTCACATTTAATGACACTTTTCTGAGAAACTTGGACAAATTTAATTAAAATGTCGCTTACCCAGGTCTGGTGGAACTAATTGAGCACTTTTAATATTCTGACTTTTCAATAATCGCTTACAAAGAGTCGAAGTGCAAAGAAAGGGAGGCAGGCAGAAGAAAAGAGAGGCCTTGCTGGAGGTTTAATCCACACTCCAGAGGTGAACGCCACTCACCTCTGCCCTTAGCAAAGGCTCTGCCTGACAGCCCCCTCCCCAAAAGGGCCAAGAGAGGGACAAGGGCTCTGGTCAAAAGGGGAGAGATTGAATTTTTAATAAGTGCTGATTCAGAATCCTACTTCTCAATAAAGCAAACACAGCATGCCGGCTCTAATTACCTCATCCTCCCTAGGCAAGCCTGGCTGCTCTCACAGTCCCTGGGGAACAGCAAGCAATGGGGCTGCTGACAGGGGTGCTGCGAGGCAGGGGGCAGACAGGCAAAGGAGAGAAATGCTCTCAGCACCCTGTCAAAGGCTGCTCCATGTAAGGTTTCACTCACACAGTCACCTCCCTACTGCAATCATGTCCCCATCTATCTAGTGGGAAACACAGTCTAACAGGGATGAAGACTCTGAGGGTGCCAGCCTTGAATTCACAGGCTGAACCTGGAATCAGCCTGTCCCCACTTCTCCTCCCAAAGCCCAGATATGATCCCAGCCACCAGCCCAGGAGCCCAGGGTCCCAACTTGCCTTTACACCCACAAGATTGTTGTGGAAGTCCACCCGGGCCCGTAGGTCCTTGCTCGACCTGCGGCCCAAGAATTCCTTGACGAACTTGCTGCTATATTTGAGGTTGTCCCCACAGCCGCCCCACTGCCAGGCCTCACGGTTCTCCAGGTCAGGTGCCTCGTCACAGGTGCAGCGTTCCATACGGCCAGCACTGCAGGCCTTGGCCAGTGCATGGGTCAGCCCAGCTGAGGAGATGGCATATAGGAAGGCTGTCTCCTTGAAGCCTTGGGGAGACATGGCACTGGTCAGTAGGTGGCCTCAGCAATCAGGCTGTCCCACAGACCCACCCACACAGGGTCCTCAGAGAGCCCCTCTTAGGCATAAACCCATAGCCAGGCCCATGCATTGTCTTCATTCAAAGCACAAATTCCACATGGGTGTCCCAGAATGCTGACCCCTCCAGCAGTGGATGGGAGGAAGAGAAGGAAGGGAGTATTTTTCCTAGTGGTGTTCAACTGTAGAGGGTGTTGGGGGCTAAGCTCTTCCCACATTGCTGTATACCCTGACAGCAGGTGGGCACAGCAGTAGGCAGCACCAGGCGCTGGGGGTGGGAGCAGACTCAGCCAGCACCCAGCTGAGGCCACAGTCCTGGCTCAGAGGGGATCCCCATCAGCCCTTCACTTACCTCCCTATGTGAGGCCCATGGTCACTACTCACTGAGCCGCCCTCAGCAAGCCCTCCCTGCTTCAGCCTCAGCTCCCTAACTTTTAAACAAGTCTGTTGCAAGCTTGGCTCAAGTAGGAGCCAGAGCCCCAGGCAGAGTCCATGTGTGGAAGGAGGGAGGGAGGAGGGGACGGGGCTCTGTGTTCCAGGGCCAGGAGGCACCAGCTGCAGTGCCGGCCCTGTGCCCAGGCCGTGGGCTCTAGGCCACCCAGCATGTGTCAGGAGCCATCAGAACCCACCTCTGGCAGCCTTAGACCATCCGTAAAAGGGCTGCACAAGTGTGCCCTGTCTCCGCAGCAACTGTTCCACCAGTGTGAAGGAGGGGCAGGCAGGCAGGAAGAGGGGAAATAAAGAAGACAGGCCTCCAGACACTGGGGCACGTGTTCCCCATCCACCTGCTGCCCTGCCCCAGGTATGAGATAGTGGTTCTGCCCCAGCAACCTCGGGCCTGCACTAACTACAAAGGTACAGCTATGGGCTCTGGGAGAAGCCTGCTCCTTCTCCAATACCTAGAGCAGTCTCTCTACCTTTCTGGTGCTGGATCACCCTGCTGCCCTTGGGATAGTGGAACTGCAAGCTTGGAGGCTGGACTTGTCCTGTCCTCCAGAGTCCCACACAGAGGAAGCACTGGGCTGCCACGCAAGGTCCAACAGCCACCATGCATAGCCTGCCCAACACCTTCCTGGAATACTACATAGCCACTCACACTTGAACCAGATAGAGGCCCCAAAACTGAGCACAGAGGCCCCAAGGCCAGAGGTTGACCTGAGACCAGAGCCTTCCCATCTCCACCCCAGCCATCACCCCAGGGCTGGGGGAAGCACACTGGACAAAGCCCACCTTCCCAGGCCACATGGGCCTAGGCTGCAGGAGCCTTGATACAAGGCTCTGCTATGTGTTTGAGGGCAGGTGCTGTGGCGGCATGGGGGCAGGGGCCCAGTACTGGCCTGGCAGCACTGACCTCGCTTGAGCAGGCTGGCCCGGTAGCGGCCCTCCAGGGTGCAGTTCCACCGCTCGAAACGGAACTGGTACTGGCACTCAAGGGCACTCATGCTGATGGCCTCCACTAGTGTCTCGGCCACCCCAGGGTCCCGGCGGCACATGCGCCGCTGCTTCCGTTCCAGCTTCAGCCGGTCACAGGCCTTGTAGTGTGCCTTGGCAGCCGCAGCCTCAGGCTCCAGGGTCAGTGGGAGGATGGTCAAGGGCTCGCTGCCCGTCAGCCTGGGCACACAGAAGCAAGAGTTTCCATTACTCTGAGAAGGTGGGCATCAGGAAAACAGCACAGAGGCAATGGAGCACCCCCCACAGAGAACCTCAATGGCAGAGCAGAAGGCAGCACTAGGTTGCAGGGGCAGAGAAAGGCCAGTGCAGCCCCAGGAAGAATCAAAGCAAGGGAGGGGGAAGGAAATCAGGGGGCACAAGAGAACCTCCTCAGCGGACCAGGGCCACCCCTATACCCACTTCATGTGGCTGTCCTGCACTCACCTCACAAGTGTCAACGCCACCCCTGATGACCCCTCTAAAGAGGCCCACCCCCAGCCCAATTGTAGGTGAGGAAAAGACAGTGCAGACCTCCTCAGCCCATGCCCCTGAGCTCAGGGTTAGGGCAGGCCCAGGCAGAGGACACAGAGGACAGGACAGGGATCCTCCCACTCTCCCACCCCCAATGCAGTGCTGACAAGAGGGCCTATACCACCCACTCCTGTGCCTCACTAGTCCCACTGTTCTGGGGACCCAGTACACATACCCAGGATGCTCCCCTGTCCTTGTAGGCTCTCCCACATCCCCTGCCATCCAGCTGCAGGCAGTCAGTCCCCCATCCTCCTATGGCCCCTGAGAAGGGTTTCCTGTTTTCCAGCACACTTAGTGGGACTTCAGCATTCACAGTAGCAGAGGCACACAGCTGGCCCTGACCAGGCTTCCTGGATACTGCATCCAAACAGAGTCCTCCACCTCAGGACCTTCCACAGCAGCCACAGGCCAGGAAGTCCCATCTCTTATCTGAGCGTCAATGTTTATAGGTGGGGATTAGGACAAACCACTGTCTAATGAGGGAACTGGTGCTAAGAGGGATTGCTGTCTGAGCCCCTCCCCCTCTGAGCTCCCCCATGGGCCACCCACTAAGGGCCTGTTGAGTCATCTTCTTGGTTCCCCACCCCTGAGCAAGTGATAATACAAACACCAAGCTCTTTTCCAGCCACACCTGTTCCAGGCCTGCCCTGGCCAGCCTCCACTTCCCAGGTGTGCTCCCATTCCACCATCTTAAGAGCTCCTGGGTCCCTGGACTCTGGGCTCAGGCCTGGGCCTTGCCATAACCTCTTCTCTTTAGGCTGTCCCAGTGATCTCTCCTTGCCTGCGGCAGCCCTGCAGAAGCCCCAGGACCCTGCCCCCAAAGTTCAGCCCAATAGGGCTGAGCACCTCCCTCAACACTGGCACATCATGGCTCCCCCTTACTGCCCATCCTGCCTGGTCCAACCCCCCTAACAAAGCGCCTGGCTGACTCCAGAGCTGGCCCCAGGGCCATCTCCACCAGCTCAGCAACACCATGCTCTGGCTGCAGGCATGCTCAGCAGTCACCTGCATCCACCCCATCAAGGACTGACGCAGCTACCATTCTCTAGCTCTAAGCTCAGGCCAAATGGCACATCCAGACCACCAAGGCATCTCAGCACAAGCATCCCCACCACTCCTCTGCTAGCTCTTAGAAATGACCAAGTACTGATGCAATCTCCCCACAGCACTGGTGAGGCCTACTCTTCAGATCATGCCCTGCTCCCCCAGCCAATGCACAGGCTGCCCGAGGCACTGAGCAGGTGCTGCAGTGAAGGACAGGCTGCAGATGCCCAGGGGCAGTGGGCAGCCAGCAAAGATATAAATCCCTGTCCCATCACCCTAACTGGACAGAGTCAGACATTCTAACAAGGGGATGTCTGTACCAGGCAGTCCAATGTATGGCCAGCTGCCTCAGGAGACTGCATTGTCCCCAGGCATGCAAGCCGGCAGCTAGGAGAGGGGTCAGCATCACAGAACTTAGGAGAGAGGCAAGGTCTTCCCAGCAGGTGTGCATCCACAGCATGTTCTGGGAACACAAAGGCCACTGAGATCTATACTCTCAAGAGCAGACATGTTGAGGGGTGGCTGCCAGCCTCATAGGCAACGAAGGATGTGGAAGGAAGGTGAAAGGGAAAGAACAGCCGTGAACAACAAAGGCGCAGCATGGCCTCCACACCCAGGCACACATGGGCATTGGCCTAGGCTAGGAAAAGAAACTGATGAGGCAGCAGGGCCAGAGCCTAATCATGAAGGGCACAGAGCCCTACCACAAGCATGGGCTTCATCTCTCAGGCTGTGGGGCCCACACAAACCTGGACATGCCCCAAGCCTGGATTCTTCAAGATTAACAGAGCTCCAAAGCCAATGTCAAAGTATTCCAACATCCCAGAAGAGAGCACCTAGAATGAGGGTCACCATGGTAGGATGCCAGGAAGCAGGAGAGAGTATCCTGCTGGGCTGTGTGGACATCTGTAACTCCTGAGGGTCAGCTCACAGAGGCAAACTCTGAGCCCCAGATCCAGGAGCAAAGGAAACAGCACTGCCCAGAGTCATACCAGGCTGCCCATAGGGAAATACCAGATCAGAGGCACACTGGGGTACCCATGTTAAGGGCCTCAGAGCTGTACCAGGCTGCCCACAGGAAGGAGTCCCACTGTCTGCAGAGAGACAGCAGGGTGTTTCAAGATAGGAGCCCTGCCACCACCAGCCAATTCAGCTAGGGGCAACAGAACACACACCCCCATGCTGGGAACAGAAAGTATCACACTTCCCAAACAACAGCCAGCTTACACGAAGGAGACCTTCATCCCCAGACAGGAATTCTAACAGCTGTGCTGAGAACAGCGTGCCACCAGGAAATGTTCCCGTCACAAACCTGCACATGCCCCAAGCCTGGATTCTTCAAGATTAACCAAGCTCCAAAGCCAATGCCAAAGCATTCCAATGTCCCACAAGAGAGCTCCCAAGAATGGGGGTCACCGTAATGGACGCCAGGCAGGCTGGAAGACTGGAAGCACAGCTGTGACTGTGGATAGAGTGCCACAAGGCCTGAGATACTACCACAGGGCCCTCAGCACTTTTGTGACATCATCCCTGACACCAGCTAGCCAGAAGTGTACAGGGCCAGCCCACCACTGTGTCCACCACCCAAAGAGGCCTAGGGTCTCTCTACTGCCCCACTCAGGCCAGTAGTCTGGGCACAGAAAGCAGGTTTAAAGATGATGAGCCAACACATCCCAAACTCTGCAAAGTTCTCACTGAGTTATCTGAAGAGCCAAGTAGGAAGTTTGAGCCTCCTAAGCTGGTGAAGAAAGTTAAGCCCTCATAAGGTCTACAGACCTCCTGCAGCTGCACAGAGCCAAAGCCCAAGTAGACACTATGAGGGGCCACTTCTTCCTCTGGCCTCAGATGTCAATCTGTGTCTACCTAAGCACCAATGCAGCTGCTAAGTGGAACCACCAATCTGTTAGGGACCTGGACAGGACAGAGGCCTGTCACACAGGAGGGCCATGCCCTCCATCCACATAGAGCCTCCATGCTCCAAGATATGCAGACTCCAAGATAAGCAGGGTCCTCACTACCTCCTCCTCAAGGCACCTTCCCCCCTCCCAGACAGTTGAGTCTCCTGCCTCAGGAGACTGGAATGGTCTGCAGGTAGGCTCAGCCTGCAGCCAGACTAGGGGGCATGCAGCTTAGTGAAGAAGGGGTGGAGGTCAGATCAGAAACCAGGGTGGGGAGAAGCCAAGGTGAGAGACTGAAGGGCAGACAACACGGTGGACTACAGAGGTATGGGCTCTGTCGGAGACAGCAGAGCTGAGGAATCATGGCCTGTGCAGACAGAGGATATGGGACTCCTAATTAGACCTTCTAGAACAGAAACCTGGTGCGGTACAGTGAATTACTTAATATGGCTCATCTAGCCATAAGGCTCATCTAGTCTTTATGACTCCCACCAGAAGAATGGGTAGGACTATGCAAATGTGAGTTGCTTGTGACCCACCAAGGGGATTGGAAAGCTTGCTAATGATGTAAATAAGGTACATGGGACCCTTGTGTGGATGTATGGAATCCCAATGTGGGGATCAGTCAGTTTAGCCATCCTGCTGGGCTTAAAATGAGCCATCCCAGCGACAAAAAGGAAGGAATCTCACTACCATAAAGAAAGAAGAGCCAGCATGTAACAAGCATGACATCACCTAGGAAAAGGAAGACACAGAGAGGTGCACAAGAGGTACAGACAATGAAGGTAAATAGTATTATATACAAAATACTGCATCATCAATAATAGCAAACACTAATATAAGACTGCTAACCAGAAGGCTAGTGGTTCAAACCCACTAGCCACTCCTCAGAAGGAAGGTTGGGCAATCCTACTTCCGTAGTGATACTGCCTTGGCAACCCAAGGAGGGGTCGCTATGAGTCGGGGCTGACTCGATGGCACATAACAACAACAACAACAGCAATATATGGGTAGATACACAGGTAGACAGGCAAAAATCAGGTGTTGGTAGGTGAATGGGAATATACCCAAGACCATACATAGGTTGGGCAGACGATATTCTTACATGTATATTTGTATGTGCTATAAAAATGTCCATATGCAGTATAATGCTAACAGGGGACAAAGTTAGCATAACCTCTTAGCCACAACTAAGAACCTTAAGGGAATGAGTTGCTGGGCATGGTCAAGCTCAATTGGCACAACACAGTACACAAAAACATGGTTATACATCCTACTTTGGTGAGTAGCAATTGGGGTCTTACAAACTAGCAAGTGGCCATCCAAAATGCAAGTACTGGTCTCTCCTTTTCAAGAGCAAAGAAGAGTGAAGAAAATCAAAGACATGTAGAAACAATCCAAAGCCTACATGACCCTAAGACCAAAAGAACTAGATGGTGCCCAGCTACCAGTACCAACCACTTGGAAAGGGATCACAATAAGAGATCCTGGGTAGAGTGGGAGAAAAATTTAAAAGAAAACATAAAAAGACCAAGATTATTGGTTGGATAGACTGGTAAAACCCCTGAGACTACAGCCCCTAATCACCCTTCTGGTCCAGATTTGGACCCACTTCCATGGCTAACTTTCAGCCAAACAACAGACACACCTACGAGGTGAACAACTACACCAGGGAGATGTACTCCTTAGAACAACCAACCATGGAAG